ACGCAAGACTGGCGCAGTATCTATATAACTAAAAACTGCGTATTTTAGGTTTTATGATGCCAGGTCTTAAGTCTAAACTGACCTATTTCTTGACAAATCCGAAACAGGAGATAGTTGCAATACGTCTAACATCAATTATGGAACGACCGAAGGAGGTAATTGTCATTCAGCACAATAATATGACAGCGTGTAAAACAAACCCCGTGTTTCTAGACTGCAAACAAAGAGTTGTTAAAAGAAAGGAGCATTGAAGGTCATGAAACCTGTCTCAGGCGTTTTTTAAGGGAGAAGAACCTCACTCGCCATTTGATTACAACGCGATTTCGCCAAGAGGACGACTTCTCGTTGATCTCGTAGAACGGCTTGAAGAAAAGGTGAAAATTACCGCAGACTAGACTCAAGTTTTAGCTGATTATAGACTTAAAATTTATTCAAATCCACACGCAATATCACAGGTTGAACTAACAACAATAAAGTTCACGACAATTATTTTGATGGAGCTTTATAAAAATAGTAAGTTCTTGGCAACACAGCATTCTAAATTATTTCGCCCTATTTTGAGCAGAAAACAGTCAAAATCTAAACCTGAAATACCGCACTTTCAGCTGTGGTCATCGCTCCCACCACACGTCAAGAAACTTTTATACCTAGCCATCATTTCTGTACACAAAAGTTGCGCCCGTCGTGGACTTGCCTACAAACTAATGCACTACAAGATAGACGATGCAATTCGGCAAGGTTGTCAAGGTTGGGTATCTGAAGGAACAGCCTACAACTCGCAAAAGGTATCACTACTAACAAAGGTGACCACATTGGAAAAATCAGTTTCTTTTTAGTCAGAAAGAAACTGCATTCAAATGAACTAACAGCTAAGAAAACCCTCAATACCTTACTGATTACCGTTGTTAACAAACACCAAGCTACTTAATAGGTTCTTTGACTGCAGTAAACAAGAACAGCCTATTTTAGATGTTCGAAAAAATGGGATTTAAAGTACTTTACGAACTGAAAGACTCTGACCATCTCGATGAAAAAGGCAAACAAATCTTCAAATGCCATGATCGCACCAACTCCTCTAAGCTGGTCTTCTTGCCGTTTTAAACCCCATTACAGTTTTTGCCTGTTTGCTTAGTGTTACAGTTTACCTCAAGGAGAAAAAGTAGCAGTAATAGTTCAAACACTTTATAAACCATTGTGAGACCTTCACTAACTAAAAAAAAAAGATAGATAAATAAAAACTTCAACTAGTTTAATCAATGTTTAATTATTTCATTGAAAAAAAACTTGGTAAACATGAAAAAAATGCATGACGCCAATAAAAACCAAAGCCGTGTTGCCACAGCCAGTTCTTTCGCTAACTTCCGATACCCAGTGCTTCTTAAGCAAAAATCAAATTATTGGAGTTTTAGCTGACTAACTCCCTATCTGGACACGGGTATTGCAGGTATCTCGTATAACATAACAATCTACAATATACATACAAAAGTTTCAATAATCAGTAAGTTATTGCTACATAACACCTTTTGAGCTACATATATCTAATTCTGAGTCTCATTTACATCAATACCTGTATATAAATGTAAGGATAAGTTTGTTAGTATCATTAGAGTAAATTACGAGGCATGTAAGAATAACCATATAAAGTGAAAAGATAACAACTAGAGAGCAACAGAACAGGCCACTCGTTACTCCAAACACCAGAGTAATTGATACCTAATAACGCTTGGCGGCTTTTTTGTTTAAGTTAACAAAAAGATCAGAAAATTCAAAGAAAATGTGAATTGTATTTTGTATAATGCCCATCGACCAACGATCATATAGCCAATGGAAACCACACTGACTTAGTGAACAACTAACATAATTTTTTTTCTGCGGCCTGACCTATGTCTTCAGAACTAAACAACAATTCTGGAATTGCCAAATATTTTGCGCAGTTCTTTTAACCTTCCATTTTTTAGTTCTTTTTTTAGGCAGCATTCCGGCATTGCTATACGCAAGTAGTAGTCGTCTGTCTGCGAAGCAGGTTCCCATTTAAAATCAAGCACGTTTTCATCAGCGTTATCAGATTTCACATTTGGATCGCTAAAAATATCATTAGAGAAAACGAAAAAAAATTTTGAAATCAATATGTCAATCAAAAAATTACACTAAATAAGCAGCGTAAAACACTGTCACACCTTATCAGGACAAAAATTTGTTTCTTTGTTCAAAACCAGTATTTC